AGAAGGTAGACTTAGAGCAAAAGAAACACTAACGATTGTTTCGCAGTAAAGGATTTTCAATTTGAGTAGCAAGCATAGCAGCTGAAGTGGCCGCTATGGCTGCAGCTCGTTTTTCTAGATCTACCTCTTTACAATCCGGTAAATCCCCGGTCATATTTAGATAAGTATATTTCACAAAAAAAGAACAAAAGTTGCTACGACGCCTAACAAAGGTTCAGAAGCCGAAGGGAACGCACTAAACACACGCGTTCTGTTATGATAAAGAGTGATTAGTTCTTCCTCACTATCTACACGTTATGAGGTATGAACTCCCTTTCGCATTCCCCTCGGGTTCTTGGCAACCAAATCTCCCCGCTTTCTGGTACTCAAAAAGTAGTTAAAATTGTGGGAAAAGTTATTAAGGCATTAAAATTTTGTTTCAATTTAACCTTTGTACTGTATTAATATAACTGTTTCTTTGCAGCAAGAAGGCAATACCGTTACCATCGAAACAGCAGATGGCAAACAATATAAAATTCAGACTCCTTCTGTAAGTTTTTGATTCGGCTTGTATTATAGTGGGTGATTCATTGACTTATTTAATAACTTAAATGTGGCAATGTAACAATAAGTTTTTCGTTTTATTCGAATATTCTTTGTTAAAGAGCTTGACTGCATATTCGTAGTGTTGTTTCTAATTTATATAATGCTTTTTACTTTAAAAAAAGAAAAAATACAATACCGTAAATTCAGCTTAACACTCCAGCTTAGCTTAGCCTACTTAATAGATATATTATTATTTTGTTTTCAATACTTTGGTGGTACAGAACACTCAGTAAGTTAGCTACCGAGACTTTTTAACAAGTCCAGAATATTTTAATACTCAGGACTTACAATTAAAAGTTGTCAAGTTTTTATATAAGTACTAAATATTAATCTCGATCTGTAGCAACACAGCGAGTATTCTTCTATAGTCGAATTCGAAGCCAAAGTCATAAATAACTTCACTTTAGCTGAATTGAACAGCACTAACTTTGACCCCAACTTTGGTGATATATATAATTTATTTACATTGTTATATACTTAAATTGATTTTGCTTTTAGATTTAAATCTCTACTTTAGGGCTCTCGCAGTCAGCCAGAGTTATACCAATCTTTTTTGAAGGATTCGCGCTATACCCGGAAAGTGTTTTTAGCTGTCTAAGTAGTTAAGCTGCTTTAGTTTTTAAAATCTTTCTGGTATGCTTATAAATTTTATTAAAAACTAAATTTGTTACTTCTTGTATACGTTATAGCCCATTAGTAAATTGCCAAAAGCGTTGCTTTCCTTGAGTTGCGTAAGCGATACCTTCAACACTTTCCAAACTTGTAGCATCGCCTCCTTATAAACACGTTTGTTATAAAGCAGCTATAAAGAGTATTATAATACCTATGAACATTTTTTTTAGTAGCTTTCCCACGTTTGACCTATTTATGTGAAGAAGTACGTAATTCACTTATTTGATATAACTGTTAATGCCTTTAGGTGTTTGTAACTTTATCGTAGCGTAATTATTTTAAAAAACAAGTAATTCGCAAACTCTTTGCAGCGCAAGCACAAGATAATAATATGTACACACATACGCGTATAGAAATAAGGAGCTCGTCCTGTCGCCCGCAGCCAGGACATTGCCCCGTTCTTTGTAAAAAACTGGAGATGTGAGGCTGGGCTTTCGTACAGAGCGCCCGTGGTGGTCAGCCCACGTATGGCTTATTTAAAATTTATGTAAAGTTTATAAAATGTTAAGAAAGAGTATTATGCAGGTCTTACAGTGGTTTTCCTAAACCTCTCATATCGTGCATAACTATAGTTTTGTCTTTTTAAAAATGTTAAAAAGATCTCGTTAGATGATTGAGGAAAGTACAAACCGAAACTTGCCGTGAGGAAGTAGTTCCCGTCGAAAGGATCAAACCGGAGATTATTAATGGCAAGTTGGTGACTGTTTTCTACGCGCTGGACCAGTGCTGTATGGCACAAGCAACAATATAGGGAAGAGCAGTACATGGCCTAGCGTCTAGTACCGTTAGGAAGTCGCACATCATAAAGTCCTACGGCGTTAGTAAAAGCTAAGCGCCATAGTAGGAGTTCTCAAGGACATACCAATAGTCTTGTCGTTTCCGACGGAAGCAAACACAGTCGGTGGCATCTGTTGGCAAGTTTGCCACTGTACGTCTTTAGCAACGGAACAGTGACCCCAATAGAGTGACAGCTATGCACCAAGAATTAGAAGCTAGCCAATAGGAAAAGCATAAACCCATTACCGCTTGCAGGCCGTCGCTGGAAAGGCGAGAGTGGCATATACTACCGTCCTTGCTGCACGTGAGACATTGTCTCTCGTAAAAAGACAACCCAAAAATCCCTGCGAGGATCGATAAAAAATATTTCTTAGTGGATAATAATGGACACGCACCCTTGGTATGGAAATTATTATCCTTCAAGCAAAGTTTCGAGCGTAAAACAATAGAAAATCGATTTTGGGTTTCGTGTTTGTCGAGATACTCGGAGAGGTAAAGGGAACCGTCATCGGACGAAGTAAGAAGAAAATTGGCCTTCGCAGCGGAAGTAAGTGCGGGTGTTAGATGTCACGAAGCGCGCAGTGAAGACCTGGCTGGCTCCTAGAACGTATGTGATCCGAGAAACCCAGCGCCGGTGCATTTTGCTAGTTCCTAGTAGCGCAAAGTTGCTAAGCTCCTCGCCACTACCTGCTCCTAAAGCAGACTGCCAATAACTTTTTACAAGAGCATAAGCAATCGAAAAAATATATTCTAAACTTCACTGTAGTCGGGCAACTCCAGGCTATAAATACTAACTTTTCCTTCCCCTCCAGCTTTTGGAACAAAAGAAGATTAAAACTCAATAAAGTTAAGTAAAGCTTACCGAGAGCTATATATTGTTTGTCGCTACGGAGTGCCATAGAGTAGACCAAGTGGTTATGGCCCGCTCCAAAGTAAGAGTTGGCCACTAGCCCGTTTTATAACAAAGCGCTTCACTCAACTGTATAATACTACGACCTCTTTCTGACGCAGAAGAGGCCCAGCGGCCCCGTTTAGTGGCTACATCCTTTTCTAACTCAAAGATGGTCCCGCAAAAAAACTCTAGATTTTCCTAGAGTAATTTCTTTTAAGACTAGCAATAAGCGTTGCTAGAAAGAAACTAACCTTATCAACTGTATCACTTTTTTCTAAGGGCTCGGAAAAGTCAATTTTCGTTACCTCACGATCCTGTTCAAAGTAGATGACTACTTTCCCTCTGGGAAATTTTAAATTGCTACACGAAACTATACTAAATAATTAATAGCAACAAACCTTTACCAGTGATATTTACAAAATTCTTGCTAAAATACAAAATTTTTTACTTAAACTAAAAAAAGTAAATCATAGGTATAATAAATTTTTTTTGGAAAATTCGTTAAACCACCGTAAATTATATATTTGCAGTATTACTTACTTTAAATCTTGAACTCCTCCTCAAAGGCTCTTCCATTTTGTTTTGTAAAGGTTTCCTTGAAAACTGTGCCCTTTTTTTTGGCGGCTAATATGAAATAAAGACGGTTACATATAACTATCATTGAAAAACGCACCAACTATAAAATACTTAACAGGGTAAAGCTAACCATCCAAGAGTTATCCGTTTTTAAACCTAGTTCCTCTAATATTTTATTATTAGCTTCAATGTTTTGTAATCTGTATGCTGGGTAATTATCATAAAGTCTGTTCTCAAAATCCTTTCGTTTGTCACCAACAGGAGGAAGTAAAACTTCACTTCCTTCTTTTCCCTTTTCTTTAACAAGTTGAATTTTATTAAATAAAACACTAATAGTACAAAAAGATAAGGACAGTAGTATGGTTTTGTGATTGCTTACGTAAACAAAATTCCACAAGTGTACCATCTTGAGAATCAAGATTTTCCTTAACGTGGCGCTACAAAGGTTATGTTTCAATACGTAAAAAATAAAATAAAAGTTGGTAGACAATAACTTTTTGGAAGTAGTGTTGTATATTTCCTTTTGCAATATCCAAGTGCCCTTCACAGTTGATGCATTTTTTTTTAGTTTTAGATTGAGAAGGTTTATAGTTTTTATTCGATTTTGTAAAGCAACCACCAAAATTATTACTAAGATATAAGATCTTTCCTACCGAATTTTCTACCATATCCTCACAACAATAGTACTGGATTCAAAATCGTATTATTACGACTTGGCACTGACAGTTGGCGTATTGGTATTAAGCAGAAAGGCGAGGTTATTTGCACGGCGCTTACGGGTATTTGTGTGGCATTAGTAATACACTAGGTAACTAATTTTATAACTGGAAATTTTTTATTCTAAGTAATTTTATTAGATTTTCAGCTTACATTGTATTGAATTTGACCATAATTTTTTTTTAATTTTTTATAAATAAACTAATAATACACTTTTAAAAAAACGTTAATTTTACTTTCTTACTTTTTTTTTTTTTTTATAATTTCAGTGTAATGTTGTAAATGGGAGAAAAATACAATTCTTTGTTTATTCTTTGGCTTCAAGAATGGCTACGTGAAGCCAGTCTGCAAGGCAATGAAAGAAAATTACAAACATACGGAAAGGTACTTAAGTTAGCTTTTTTGTCTTCAAATTTAAAAATTATCTCGACTCTTTACTTTCAAGGCTTTAAAAAATTTAAAAAAGTATCCTCTTCCTCTTGTCTCAGCGGAAGAAACCCAAAAGATTTCCGGCATTGGAAAATTAATCTCCTTAAAACTTGGCGCAAAGCTTAAAAAATACCTTAGTAGTAAAAATGTTTAGAGTTTTACTAATTAACTTTGTTTGCTTAAAATCAAGTTTATATATTTACTAACTTATTGTGTTCAAATTAAGATGACTTAACTAAGCATTCCGCGCCACCCAATTCATCATTACACCAAAAAGTTATTGCACCAGTTGAAGTAGATTCTGAAGAAGTCTGTTACTCTAAAAACAATAGAAAAAGAAAAAAAGATTTTATTCCAGCGTATCGGTCTGGGTATAAACATCTTTACTATTTCTTTTCAGTCTATGCTTATCTTTTTATTTTCTTCAGCGCTTATGGTATCATTCTGGGACTCTTTTACGCTTCTCCTAGTGAACTTGGGCTCACCAAAGCTGAAGTTCTAAAGGAAGCAACTCCTCATTGTTCATCTATAGGAAGCGTACTTTTTTTTACCTTCTTGAGCTTTTTGCCTATAAATTTTTATTTACCTTTTTTAGCCTAGTGAGCAAGATTGCTTCGGCTCTATATGGAGCGGTATGAAAACTTTATGCGATAAAGAGTTTGTTAAAAAGACAGGCCGGCCAGCAAGGTTATTTGGTTATTTACCATTCTTTGCTTAACCTAATTAATATAAAGATTCCAACTTACAGTTCAAGGATTCGAACTAGCCAAATTCTTTCTTGAGTTGGATTCATTGACAACTCAAAATGGTGGGAACCGAAAACCTGATTGGTTTTCAGTAACTTATAATTTATGCTAGAAGAGTGGTTCAAGCTGAACAGCAAAAGCAGCGTTGAAGAATCAAGGCAACCCGAAGCTGATTTACTTGTGGAAGACAGTGACTGCTGCATAATCTTGGACAGTCCTCTTCCAAAATATAAAAACACGCATAACATGGAATCCGAAACTCTTGTTATTATCGACCCTATTAATAAACTTGAAGACGAAAATCTTCTTTCCGAGTGCGAGAAGGTGATTGGAAAATTGGAAGACCCGAATCTTACCATAAACACGTCTTCAGAAACTATTACTAAGAATATATTTATGGATAATAAGGATCTAAATTATCGGAAGCACCAATATTTAAGTAAAGTGATTTTCATATTTATAAAGTACTCGAATTCGTTATTACGAAATAGTAACTTTGGTATTGTTAAAAGTATAAGTATTGTCCAACTTTGCTATTCCTTAATCGTTTTATTTCTTGAAATTTTTTTACGCCTCTATTTTTCTCTTTTTTCTAGATCTGCAGCAAATTAGCAACACAGGGATCTGTCTACTAGTTGACAACCGCGAGAACTTCAGCAAGAAAGTACGATTACTTTATAAATTTCTATATTCAGAAAAAGTGATAGTTGTGTTTTGTTATTCGAAGGATCGCCGGTGTATTCTGGAGGAGTTACAAAGGCGAGGCGTCGAGTGTGTGCCAAGAGCCTTGCCTCTGGGCGATTTTACCTGGATTGCTCAAGTAAACGAAGGCATGAAAAAAGTCCTCTCTTGTTCGATGCTTTTTTTACTAGTTTGTAGAAGAGTACATGCTCGGCTTCATTATCGAGAGGAAGCGTATGGACGACCTGGTTGCCAGCATTTTCGACAGTCGCTTCATCGAGCAGCAGGCAACCTCCACTTTATTCTCTCCTTTTGCGCACTAGTATCATCTTTGTTCAGAGCCGTCTGGCGGCGAGTGGGCTTTCCCATGTGGTTTACCTCGTGGAAGACTACGGGAGGATGGAAGCTCAGAAGCTGCCAGCCTCCAGTATTAGAAAAGCGATGGTCCAGTGCTGCCTTTTCAGGTGCCCTCCATCGCTGTTATACGCCGCTCTTCCTTAAGCGTCGCGCCTGGAAAAGCAACTTCACTCTGCATCGGACCAAGAACATACAGGAAACGATCGAGTACCTCGTGACAGTCCATCACAAACTTCATGAATACTTAACGGTTTTGCAGCCCGTGCTGCCGTCCTTATTTGATTTATACCATTGCTACCTCTCATAGACCCGTCGGCAGAAGATACCAGCCACCTCATATGACTTGTAAATCTTCCAGCCGCGGTTATACTTGCGCTTCTCCTCATTCCCTTCGCCATGCTTACAGATTCAAAGCTCACTGCGCTAAAACAAAAATCAAAACACTTTCCGAAATCTTTGCCCGACAACTTGTGTGCATTAGGAACGTCACTGCGGTGATCGCTGCCGCTATAGTTTCCCACTATCCCACTTTAAGAAGGTTACCCTTTTACTGAGTGTATAACTTAATGTCGTGCTTGACACATGGTGTGAAGCTTGCTAGATGCGTACGAAGCTTGTACTTGCTGCGACGGTAAAAGAAACTTACTTAAGGATATTCCCTGCGCAAATGGTTCTAAAGTCGGACCTCGGATTAGTGAGACTGTTTACCAATTGTACTGTGTATAAGACTCGCATGAGCGTACACCAATGAACGTGCACAATTAAAGTATTTTCACAAATTTTATTCCAAGTGAAGCGTTCTCATGGCAGTAGCGCAAGCAGTCTTGAGTTGCTCTGCAGTCACATACACCCTTGGCAGTGCTCCCTGGCGACGTATCCGGTTTTCATTGACCTGAAGCAGAGCAGGGCAGACAGTTAGCTTCGACCAGGGAACCAATAACTAGCCACACTTTAGTGAGCCAAGATAGTAGTTCCCGCGACAAACACTGATAAAATTCTTCAGAAGATATTGGCCGCGTGGTGCGATCATCCACGTGGAGATGCCTCATAGCGTTGTTGATGGATCTCCTTAACAATTCCGCAGTGATCGGTGGGGAGGCTTGCTGGCGTTGAGTGAGAAAATCAAAAACTCTGCAGTCGAGAAAAAAGCCCAAATAAAAAGCCCCAAAAGGCGATAAAATAATAATAGTTAGCAATACTGCCGAATTTGGTCAGGATTCTGCAGTATACTCAGGAGTTGCGGATTATTGCTGATCATGTGCGCTATTTCGGGGTATTCCCGAAAATACATCTCTCGCAAGTGCGGATCAGAGAATGTTTGAGAAACCTACAACCTCGTAACTTATAAGTGATGCGCATACAAACTTATTACCAACGAATTGTACAATTTGGTGCATATTAGGAATGTTTCTACTAATCTCTGCGAGCCCCGACCGAGTTAGAAGAGGGTTCGTGCCGGGTGTAGGTTCAAGATTCTAAATTTAAAAATAACACGTAAGCTGAGTAGATGTGGTTATTTTTTAATTTATTAAATAAAACTTTTTTAATAAAGAAAAAAGTTCAAATTTATCATCTCGCGTGTAAATAATAAGTTAAAAGAATTTTATTTATAACTGTATATACTCGTTGAGGAGCTGCAAAAGTTGCCGGTTCAGTATTCCTTACTAAGTGGACTACGGAACCTTCTTTAAGTTCATAATCTTTAATATGCGCGTCATCCTTTAGTAAACGGCCAGAGTAAATTAATCCTAAAAGGAAAATAAATAAATTCAGTTCGACTTGACAATAAAAAATGCGGTTACTTTGTTCACGAACGGGAACTTTGTTAAGTTCTTCAATTTTTTGTTTAAGTTCAAGGACTCTGGTGTTTTCAAACACTTTAACCACAACTAGCAAAGGCAAAAAAATAGTATTTAGCCGTTCAACGGGCTAATAACAAAACATTTGTAAAGGTATATACCTTTTTCTTAGTAAACCAAATTTTTATTAAGTCAAAGTTTAATAAGCAGCAAACCTTTTTCGCCTTTTGAATATTTAATCGTCAACGCGAACATCCCTCTAAGAAAACGAACTAGCAACGAGGGTTTACGTAGTTTATCCTTTATCTTCTCGGATATTGGAATACCCCAAGAACCTCGCGGTTGTGATAAGGACTTAATAAACGCCCGTGAAAAAGTGGGCCCACAAATCATAGCTGTAGTTTCTAGTACGGAGTGGTAGGTATTTCCTACATGCCTGCTGGTAGAATATTAAGGTAAGAGTGATTAATTAGTGATGAAATAGCTTAAACTTGATGACCCCTTATAGGAGGGTGTATTTAGTAAATAAAAAGAAAAAAAAATTTAAGTTTTTGCTGATAGAATTGCGGTTTAAATCTTGTTTCAACTAAGATAACTTTGGTTTTTTATTTCATTTCTTTTTTCCCATCCGCATTATTACAGAGTAAATCAATTTAATTAAAGCTATATAATCTGTTGAATAAGAAATAACGTTATGAGCAACAAAGGTGATTACTTCACCAACGCATTTATAAGGAAGCATTGCTTGGTAATTTCCTTCAACAAACTATCTCTATTTGAGCAGCGAATAGTAAAACCAAGTTCCATGAAAAAACCTCTTTTACTTTGTTTTACATAAATTCTAATCAAATCTACTACTAATTTTATTTACTTTTAAATAAATTACAGTTCCTGGTGCTCAATCGAGTCAAGAAGCTTCGAATAATCGAACTCTCAATCAGGATTGATAGCAGTCATGTTACATAACAGCTTTCCATCGTAAAGGTGTCTTTATTTTCCTGAAGTTAAAAAACGAAAACTAGCGCTAACCCGCGACACGTGCTCCGTCCCATGGCTCTTAAGTAAGTTCACTCACCAGCAGGAGATTAGTGTGCCTGGTTAGCCTATCGTAAAGGGGATTGGCACCAAGTTGGGAGACGAGAACTAAAGGGCCCAGTTGAAGGTCTCGGCAGAAAGCTTCCTTTCGCACAAGCCATGGCGCGATAGTCATCACGCGTAGCAATTTATTCCGTCGCACTTGAAGTGCCGTCGCTATTGCAGTGGAGTCGTAAGTCTAAACTGCAGACGCCTACGTCATTATTGGCTGGATGTAAAACATATACAATTGCCGTTTGTTTCGCAGAGAAAACTTGCTCTTGCCGAATAGTAAAGTGTAAAGAGCCTTAGCTGAAGCCTTGACCTCCGCTAATAGAGAGCTCACATGCGGCTGTTAGGAAAGTTTGTTGTTAATGATGGCTCCCAAGTATTTCGCTTGAGAACACCACGAAATCTTCACGCCATCAAAGATCAAGGGCGCCAAAAAGGGGACGCGTTTCTTAGTAATTAAAAGCATTTTGCTCTTCATCACACTTATAGGAACTTTCCAATTATAGCACCAGCCTGCAAGGGGGTCAAGATAGCGCTGTACATTATTGCATAGCAAGGCGGGAGACTTCGACTATGAGTAAAGGCCGTATCATCAGCGTAGAGGGTTATTCGTGTGTTTGTATTTGAAGGCAAGGACATGTCGCTCTTGTAAATTGCAAATAAAAGCGGGAGGGGGAAAGAGAAAAGAGACCCTTGAGGGACCCCTGCTGGCAGAGATCGCAACGGCAACTATGTACCCCCACGCGCACACTGAAGACGCGACCATTAAGGTATGACTCCAGTACGTTGTAAAGGCCACGAGGAACGGATAACGAGCGCAGTTTGTGTAGCAGATCTTCATGCCAAACTTGATCAAATGCTTTTTCAACGTCTAGGGTGACAGCGCCTATTACCTTCTTAAAGTTAGACGCGCGAGTGGTTCATTTACCTAAGCGGAGGAGCTGCTGGGTCGTTGAGTGTCCTTGCCGAAAATCCAAACTGAAACCCCGTCAAGGCGTCCCGAGCGTCAACGACCTCGCCTTACCTCTGACAGGGGACTGATGGACCGGTACTTGCTAGTTGCTGGTTTCGGTTTAATTGGCAGCATCACAACGGTCGCCGTCTCTTCCATCGGCTCAGAAAGACCATCGCAGATATTACTAGGAGATAAAGAAGATGCACCCCTGGCAATTGCCTTCAGCATCTCATTAGTGATGCCATCGGGGCCGGGCGCTTTCCGTTTAGGCAGCACTTCAACAACCGCTTGAACCTCGCCTATGTTAATTAGCTCAAGTGGTTTGTGGTCATCGGGGAGGAGAGCGCATCATTGGCAGTTAAGTGAGCAGCTGGTATTTTCTGGGTAGCAAGAAAACTAGCGAAAGGTGTCTTCAACATTCTCGGCCACTATATTTCCTTCACGAAGGGGTGATAGTGGCGCGAGCTCCCGGATTATGACCCTTTTAACAAATTTACAAAAAGAAGAACAACTGCTGTTGTAGCTTGATTCAATTATATGGTGTAGCTTGTCCTATTGTTAAAGTGTGCAGTCGATTAAGCACAAGTTTGTCTTCGGCGCTCAGCGACACCATGACCACTCGGATAAGATGTCGACGTTGGCAGATAAGTGCCTTTAGTTCGTGAGACAGTCGATCGGGGTGGTACGTTTACTTCACGAGTGGTCGTGGCAGTAGTGCGAGTTATGTTCAGTGCGCTTTCGAATAAGGCGACAGCATTATCCAGCAAGGCGGACAGGGTGAGAGAGTAGTTTCCAAAAACTCAGCATTTGTCCCAGTTGGTATAAAAGCGGGTGACAGTCTCAGAGCGCCCCTCTTGTCGCCTAATTTGAGAATAATTGGAAGGACAGCTGATGGACCGCCTCAGTTGTGTTGTGAGACGTATATCTATTAGTATGGCGAGTACCTCCATTGTGCCTATAGTCGCCATGTGTGTTGGACGCTGGGAGCCTAGTATGCACAGCCCGTGCTAATCAGCCTAGGACTCAAGAATGTGACCATTCGAATTATCGGCCATGATGGGTGCTTGCAATTAAGATCTCTGCACAAAACTGCAGAGGGGCCAACCGCAAAGATGATGCCCAAATCAGAGGGCGGTGGTAGCTTCCAAGGGGATTTGTAGACAGCGATCACAGACACCGGCCCCTGGCCGGTCATACACAGGGGAACTTCCGCTTCCTCAAAAGTTTGTGGAGCCTGTCAGAAATATCGAGTGACGTTAAATTCTCCGTATTATCAAGAGAGTCATGCCCTTGTCGCTTGCATCGATCCTGCCTTGGCGATACATATATTTTTGCACAGGTTAAATGCGACGTTAAGGAGGAGTTGCGTTTCGATGGCGCACACATCAATTCTTTCACTTAACAGCTCTTGTAGCTCCTGTAGCTTATGCTTCACCATTCGCATTCCAGAATAATAATCGAATGTAGTGGCGCTTCTTTGGTTTGGGAACCGTTGTAAACAGATTCTAGTCCTATCACAGTTTCAAGCATGCCGGGTAAATTCGTAACAGCTGCGGTAAATGTCGGCTGTGGTTATTGCTGTTGCTGATCAGGTTTCGCAGTAGAAGCGTGGTTAGGAGCTTTAAAACCTAACGGAATAGTAAGCGTGTCTTGGTGAGATTTCGTCCTCAAACGAGATGCGTAAGACACACCTGAAGTAACGATGCTGTTTGTAGTGAGCATCGACGGAGTGGATTTGCGGGTTGGCTGGAAGCCATCTGCGGATGATATTTGCAACCTTGATAATTAGCGGTGTGCGCTTCACCGCAATTTGCACAAGTAGCAGGACTATCTAGTGCTTACGTGCATTTTTTACGCGTTGGGGGCTGCAGTGCGAGAGCACGCGGTGTCCCAAAGTTCTTACAACTATGGCAACGGGCAAACCTATTACTCTTCTAGAGTTCCTCCACTCGAATTGAAGATGAGAGCTAGTCTTCTAGTCTTCAGTTCTAACACCTTGCGTCCCTCAATTCTGAATATATGTACTAAAACAGTTGTAAAAATGCTTCTTAACGTTCGCCATAGACGATGTCTTCCATAAGCATTCGCGCACTTCAAAAAGGTGTGATGCCCTGTGTGCGCAAGTCCTCCTCAATGGTTGAAGATCGAGTTCACAGTAAATCCCACGGTGAAATTTTTTAAAGGCTTTTACTCAGGTAATTGATATTTTAGAATTAAAGCTCCTGAGCTCGCATAATCGTAGTTATACTACTAAATTTTATATCGACAAGGCCATATTATAGATTTTAATATCACTCAAAAGTTTCTTAATATGCTTGTGGACTTTAATTAATAAAAGGTATTCCGTACTATATTAATGACTATAAATACAAACAAAACGCCTTCAAACCAATATAGAAGCATCAATCTTTTTAAATTGATGGCTAACTGTATAAATTTTCGGCAACGCAAATTTTTATAGAGTAAAACCTTGTTTGCATCAACGCATTGTTAACAAGTTAAAGTTTGTTAATTTAGCTTATAAACAAGCACTTAAAAAATTGACCTCAAATTTTTTAGTTACACTATATTTAAGATGTACTGCTCTCTTCTCCCTGAACTTTAATATTAGGTCCTAACCGAAGTACCTCCTTGAACGTCAAAAGAGATAGGAGCTATTAAGTTAAGCATGTACGATAACAAATTTTCTGAAAAGCTATTTTAAAATACACGTGCCGACACAACATCTAATAAGCAACTCCTTGCTATGGGACATGAACAATTGACTGAGCCCACCGAAAGAGGCTAAGCAGGACGCAATTTATTATAATTAGGGTGAAGTTAAATACGCAACTATTAAAAACCGAAAAAGAGAGTCACAACGGAAAAAATTAAACTCTCGAACTTAGGAATGTGTCAAATGTTACTAAGCGCTGAGTTGTTACAATCTAATAAAACATGAATTTAATCTTACCGAGATAAGAAAAAGAGATAGCTACATCATAACATCTTACTTCCGTTATTTGTTGCGCTCAAGTCAAGCTGTCAAAAACTGTTCAAAAAGTATCCTTAGCTTCGTTTTACTCTCCAGCTCTATAGCGATTTTACTTGATCTTTATGTTAGTTTATTTACAGACCTTACATAGGGTCCCAACTTTTCATAAAATTTAATTTACGGAATCTTCAGTATTGTGTTTATTAATAATAGTGGTCGGGAATCGGTTAAATATTTTTTGAAAGATAGAAGATGCAAGTTAAGTTGTTTCCATCATACGAAGCTTAGTTCCATTAGAAAACTTATTTTGATTTGTTTGGTTCCACTTTTTAAGATGTAATTATATAAATATCTTAAATACTTTACCTGTAAACCTTAACATTCCTATAGAGCTATCCTTTTCTTATTTATCTAATGAGGCATTTATTAGTATTTTTTTATAAAATTTTAATGGTTAAAAATTTTATAAATATACTATTTTAAAAGCTAATTCTACAGGTTCAGCATACAACTCTAGGGGGACTAAAACACAATACATAAGCCTTTTTTGGAATAACTCTTTAGTAAAAGGGCATGAGTGTAGCCCTCCAATTCACTATAGCGCTTATAACATTAAAATTATTAAATAGGCGGTATTTCATTGAACTTTACTGCTACTGCATTCAAAAGTTAAGGATGAGATTGGGCATGTTCAATGGTAGACATAATTTTTGGGTCGTACGATAATAGGAAATCATTAACCAAATATGATACTATTCCGCAACAATTCCGCTAGAAAATTTTCTAAAATTTAAAAATATTTGCTGGACTGGGTCAGCCACACATTTGGCAGGTACAACCCAAATTGTTTTCGGGAGATGTTTTTAAGAAAACGAAACCTTAAATATGAGCACTAATATTTAAATGGAAGGACCATAACTCTGTATTTATATTAGATTTCCCACACCAGAAGTGGACGCCCTTTAGAGGGGCAGGATATCATTAACCAAGTTTTAAGTCCTAACATTGTGCAAGTTTATTTACTTTTTTTTAATGAAAATTGTCGTTGCGGATATGAATCTTTACGTAGTTTTATCCTTTTTTAGCCTTGTGGTTTCTAATTATTCAAAGTATTCTTACTTAGTTCTTTTAGGTTTTATATGATAAATTTGCACTATAATTATTAATAAACTTATTAATTAAATTTAAGGGTTACAGAAAGAGTAGAACAAATTTTTTTAAAAATTCTTTTATTCGTTAACCAATTCATTAATTGAGCTTCATCGCAACGATATAAGAGCTTAATTACTTAGCTGCAATAATTAATTTTTACTTATACAGATGCTAGTATGCTATTTATATATCGTAACGGTCACAACCAAATCTCTCTGTTACTGATTCTTCAAGTAAAAAGGATAATGTATTAATCTCCATACTAAGATATATAACATTTCACTTGGCAGTTCCGTGATGTCACTTCTAACCCTAAGCGTCACTAGAATTCTACAGCTTAGTGATGGTTCAAGAAGCTAGACAAGGCAAATGACGTTTTTGTTAGGAATAAAAATTATAAAAGAATCAGTTATTCTAGAGGTGTAAAATCGTTAAAAGCGCCAATCTAAATAATACTATACCTTACAATTCTTTCCAACGATATATATTATAAAATAAATAATTTGTACCAAGAAACCATTAACAAAACACAATCTCCTACACGAAGCATTTATAAATTGAATACTAATACATTTAATAGTCAACAAAACCAAAGCTACCATATATCAAAATATAGACAATATAATTACTCATAACTTTACATATATATAAAAACGATCAGGGAATGTAAAGGGCATCAATAAACATAAGCAAAAGACATCCAGAAAAAAAAAATTATAGAAATAAAGCAAAAACAAAATAGAGCCTCACTTATAAGTTTGCAGGAAAAGTGATTCGTTAATAAACTAATCAGTAATTAGTAATTTATCCAATAAAAAACAGAACTGGAAAAATGATTTTTTAAACTGTTTGTTTAGACCCCCACTTGCGTAGTCCGAGTTGACTGTAGCGCTTATCACAGTAAAATTGATATAGAGGGTAGCAAGTTTATTGAACTAATATGCAACTGCACCCAAAAGGCAAGACAAAAGAGACTCGGCGTGCAGTTCATTAGTATAATACATGAATAATATGGTAATGGGCGTGTACTAGAATTTTCCACGTGCAGCTTGACTAGGTACAAACACGAGAACAATAACGTGACCCAGTTTTTATTGTGAACATGGTAAATAAAAATTAATTTGGTAGAACTAAATTGATATTGCGAACATAAAAATAATTCTTTGACCTCTTGAAAAGGTTGAGCAATAAAGTGTGGTTGTTTTATAAATTTTGTTATCTTGATAATTTGTATGAGAAGCCGAATGACGTAAAAATCCTATAAACCGCATTTATCACATGGATTAAAATTAATGTTTATTAGAATAATTTATATCTATTCAATGGCAATTTTCTTATCAGAAACGTGCTTGATGACTTTAGCTAAGCCCTGTAAAATATAATTTATGGCACGAGCTATACCCCGTTTTATAACTAGCGAGTTCAGCAAAAATACTTAGGGCTATCAAAATGCATCCCTCTTTATTTATTGGTATAAATTTATAAATTTAAATTAGTAGGTTGGACCCTGTAAGGAGTTGTAAAGGGGGATCCGCGCAGTTGTTTAAAACTACGTTAAGGCCTTTACTGCCCTCCAAACCATCACCATATTATTAGAATTAACGGCAACTATAGTGTCGCTCGTAGCGTTGATAACGACGTCTCTTATAGCATAAGTGAGTCTTTTATCTGAATGCTTGAGAGTCTAAAGACAATAAAAATTCTTCTTTCGTGGCTAGTTAATAACCAAGTCAACCTGAAACGGCTTAACAGTGCGAAGGAGAGCCTCTTGCAGGGAATACAAATAGAGAATGCCTTTTTCATCACCAAGCACTAAAATATCTAAAACATAAGTATATACTAAATTCATTCAGCCACACAATAAAAATCACGAGAACCATCATTAACAAAAAAACTGGAATACTCGTGAGCATCACCGTAAAAGTAAAATCTCTTCAGCACTTTACTAGACGAGAGATCCACCACTTTGAGGTGGTGCACGGTGGAACTTTTTTTTTTAGTAACTATTAAGGCTGAAATAAAAAGCCAAAAACTTCAAAATAATAGTTGAGAAACCAATGCAACTTATTTGATTTTGGGGCAATCCTCGCACACAATCAACCAAGATGAAATGATTGCGAAAACAAGTTAAAGGGTTGGATGAGGGCTGGCGAGAAAAATTCTTCGGATCAGCAGAGTATTGGACGGCAAAGCCTCCCTTTCCCAAAATAACGAAAAAATCTATAGAAATAAAATGCCGAGAAATCACAGTTGTAAAAGCAAAGCAGCCACCATCAGTGAAGCAAAGCGAAGCGATCTCATCCCCCACCTGAATTATCTTCAAAGCTCTGAATTAATAATGTGCACAGGCAGAAAATAGAGCCAAAGTATAAAAATGCTACACTGTATTAGTAGCCTGTTTGTCGCTGGTGAGCAGCGAGATGCTCCAGACTATGCATGTTTTATCTGCGCTTCCACCTATAGAAGGATTCGTACAGAGATCTCTGGAAAATTTCACCGGTAGTCGTGCTTACTTAATAACAAAGTTTTATGTTTTGGGTGGAACTGAAGAGCCGTTACGACTTGTGAGTGCCGCTGCAGTAGATCCACGCAGAGAAGACTAAGGCATCAACGGCGGGTTGGTGTTGGCAGGGGGATAGAGAGCCGTGAAGAAAAAACACGACCAACTTGGGAGCAGCAAATGGATGGCTCCGTTCGTTGTTCCAGCCGCTAACATGCAATAGCCTTCGGCCGAGAGACTGTAAGCTTAAGAGAAAGTGAATATGTTGCGAATATTCATATAAATAAACAAACTAGTTTTGTAATTTTCCGAAAGAGTCGTGCGCAGTGGCTTAGACCAAGCAAGGCTACAGAAAAATGAGTCTTCCGGATTAGTGTAGCGCATCACCGTCTTTTCTATACTGTAATAAGGGAAGAGTGTCGCAAGAAAGAAGGAACCGCTGGACCTTGATCCACGTGGATGATACAAACAGTAAAGCCACCACAAGTTGCGATGATCAATCCTTATATTAAATTTACGAGAAAGCTGAAAGCAAGACAGCGCTACAAAGACCATCTGCGCTTTCCGGCATGATACGGACAGACCATACATCTCTCGTTTGCGTTTGGCCAGCACTGCCCTGTAAATTATTTAAATAATCCAATCTCTCAGTAAATTAGTTATTGGTGCCTCTCTGGCATAGTCGTGAATTTCATGCAATTGGGATAGTGTAAAAGACTTGGCGCCTATGCAAGATCCCTCATGTTTCTGAAATCTTTTATTTAGCTCCTCAAGATTTGAGATTATCTTTTCATCTCTAAATTTGAACTAACATTAACTTGTTTTTTCTCCTTATATGATTCAGGTTAGGTTAAGGGTAATAAATTTTTTATAATTTATACTAAGCTAGTCTTAATAGATATGAAATAGTTTAAATATATCGAATACTTATGCTGAAGAGCTTGAGCAGACCGCTTTGAAGTATTAGAGCTTATAATTTCTTTGTCTAAAAAAATTTTAGAACGAATTATTCACAACCGCTCAAAGAGAAGATATATTACACTAAAAAGTAAAGAAATAAAAGGTTTAATTGTACGACAGAGTCGAAAAAATAAATTTGGTGTGTAAATAAAACTTGTAGGTGTGTGAGACGAGTGTGTGAGACGACCTTTAAGGTTGGAACTGTCGAGACTCTCTGAGAAAGGCATAGGAGACCACAAACATGAATCAAGTATTCGACTTTCAACTGTACCAGACTGACTTTTTAACTTGGCTTTTCCGGTTCTATCATCGTATGATAGTAGTTCTAATATCTCCACTTCTACCAATAGAGGTATTATTTAAACTTTAGAATAAAAATAACACCTGGAGAATGTTTTTTAAAATAAAAATTGAAGTAGAAAAAAAAAATTTACAGATATATTTTGAAATTAATAAGTTATAGGTCCCCAATATAATTTAACTATTTCTCCGTTTTTTAATAAAGATGTTTCGCCCAAGAAATTCTTTAGGGTTCAATCTTTTTGAGCCAGCACTAAACTCCTTAAATTCTTCAAAACCTCGCATTTAAATAGAACTCTAAGGCACAGTCATTAAAGGTCTAAGTAGACTAGAAAGAGAAGACACTGAGCTACTTGGCGGTCTTATTTGGTACAAGAGGTTTTTTTTTTCAAGTGGCATTTTCTGGTGCTTAATCGAGTTAATCCCTACTACAAATACAAAATGAATGCTAAGCTCCTTGGGCACGATCTGCAATAGCATGTGCCGTCTCCTGGAGCTCTTCTGACAGTATTAGAAAGGTGCGCTGAATACTTAACAAAACCTTTGCCCGTAGTCAGAGATTCAACCTTAAGGTCTAAATATAAGGCATCATCAATTGAACCATGGTGCCACCGTCATGAGACGAAGCAGTTTCTTTTGTCTCACATAAAGCGAAAAGGCTATTGCCGGTCAGCTGTAGGCCCAGGCAACAGACGCGTATGCTATAATTGACTGGATACACAACACGTGCTAGCGTCGCTTGTTGTGCACAAAGGATGTTTAGTTTGAGCTGCTGCCTCAACCTCCGCCTCTAAGTAAGTTACATGCGCCCATCACTAGAGCTTACTGTCAACGTTGACCTCCAAATATCCTTGGAGAAAATCGTAATTACCTTACCTTCATAAGTCAGCGCCATTGGTAATGTAGTGCACTTCTTTGGTGAAAAGAGGCTCTTGCTTTTCCAGCAGTAATTTTTCCACTACACCCACCTGGAATACGTGACTGGTTAGTACTGCAGATATTTGGTGTAATTAGGCTGGGGACTTTGCCGAGGGGTAAATCGAGGTATATAATGCTTATAAAACAAACCGCGCATTCAAAAGACCAAGAATATGGTGACAGAATAGAGTCTCACAAAATTTTCCAGTTAGTAGTTTTGAGAATCCTTAAGGCAAGAGTTGGGGGTTGAAAAATCAGCATAGAGTGCTATGGCTTGCAAGTGTTGTGAAGCAAGCCTTTTGTGCCAAAGTCGATCAAACACCTTTTCGACTTTAAGAATAACGGGGCTGATAGGCCGGTATTCCGTTTGGAGTAGGATCTAGTTGCGGTATCTTTGGAAGCATTACAGTGGCAGCCCTCTTCCTTAGCAACGGGCAGGAACCGAGAGCAGCCGTCAAGTTGATGAGGTAGCGTAGGTGTTTTACGCAGATAGAGCCATGGTTCAAAGACCTGATGATTCTTAGCCTATATAACTCTCCTAGAAGTTTGTAAAAAATCATTATACCTCCAAGATTTTACTAGCCTCAATGTTTACCATCACTTTAATGGTCAAGTGCGTAATAATTATCAATGACGTCAGTAGTTTAAGTGACTCAATATCCGAAAAGTCTACTTAACTTTATTACTAACTTCTCTCTATAATAGCTTTTTATAATCATCAAAGCACAACATCAGTTATCTCAGATTAGACATTTTCATAGGTATTTATTACAAAGAATTTTTTGGATCTAAATGTTTGATAAATTTCTATATCAGCTTTAAAACTTAATAATACAAGTTATGGTGAGATTAATAAGGGAATTGACAAATTAAAAACATGACTAGTCAACAACTACGTTAGTATTGTAAAACAATTATATGACAAACAATTAAGTACATAACTTCTAAAAGGTTTATATGCGTAGGAGTTTAACCTTTATTAATCTAAGTTAACTTCATATATAATAGTTTTACTTTATCCATATACTGATGTTATTTTCTGGTATTGATAGGGCAAACAAACACCGAGTTTTTAAGTTCAGCGCACAAAAGTTTAATATATAACCAGGATAAACTTTTTTTTATCCCCCCGATGGAGCTCTTAGTCGGGGAGGCCTGGCTGGCGAAAGTGCTAACAGGAGTCTCCAGGAGACCTTGGGTCTTTTTATTCCTGGGACCGTCTAAGTTTAATAGCGGGGGCCCGAACTCAATATTCTCCGCTATTATAGTTTTTTGGGGCAGTCATGATAGTGCAAGCTCCTTCGGGTGGGCATTGGTGCCCCTTTAGGTTAGGTTAAACAGTAACTTAGCCCTCTTACAATTAGGGCCTGGCTGTAGTATGTCAGGTAACAAAATAAAAAACACCCTTCAATTGCACAGTTCCTCGGATTTACTGAGGGCTTATGACAAATAAAAATTTAAACTAAAGCAAAAATAAAATTGAAAATTGCCAAATTTAGGATGGCAACAGCAAGCCAGATTATTGAATGAAAAATTAACTCTTGTAAAACTCAAAAGCTAATTAAAATAGTTACAAAAATAAAATCATTGGTTAAGATCTCAAAGGTCATTGGTCGGCAGTATCCTAAATTTTCAATATGTCTAGAGGAATAACCAACTAATAAACAAACCTTCTTTATTTATTTTTATCAGCTTATAACAATAAAATCTATTTTTTACTACTCCCAGAAGTTCAAAAAAGTATTATACTCCTCGCTGAAGATAAGAAAAACTCCTTTTCTGAATAATAAAATTACTGATTTCGTATAAACAAACTGCAAAAGGACTTTCGCTTCTTGCACACCATTGCAGAAAGTTGATGAGGGACGCTTGTGACTTTTTATATTTCCTTCAAGCGCTTAAGCGCTTTGAATTTAAACATTTGACCTTAGTGCTACCATACAAAATTTAAATGAATTAATTGGTCTACGCTAGTGGTGTTTCTATCGATCACATGTAATACATCCGTTTTAATTAAAGTGTAACTATTTATATAACCTTTAAACTTTCATAAATATGTTTAAATAGTCATAAAACAAAGATTGTTACTGAACCACTAAAGATTTTATATTATAAGGCAACTTTACGTAGGTTTTATGTTTTTTAATTTTGCGTTGAAGTAACTATTATGTATTTTTTTGTCTAGGGTTAGTCTCATTTTGTCAATATTTTACCTTTAAAAAGCTAGTGTACATAAATAATAATGAAAATATTACTTATCTAATTTTTTTAGCGAAAGTTGAAGTAGATAGTGAATATAATCAATTTAAGATGACGCGGTGCACTCTTAGAACATTTTCATACTAATTGTTAAGTTTGGTAAACGGAAACTATATAAAAAATTTAATTATTCCGGCGAGTATGCACTGCATTATACGAGCGAACCTACAATATTATTAAAAGAATTACTTAAACTGATATAGTTCAAAGAAGTTATAAAATAGCGTAATATTTGAAAACATGTCCTCATGGCTATTATAATGTCATATATAACAAAGGTAACAATTAATTTTTTGTATCATTGTTACTTGGAACTTTGTTTTAAGTAGCCTGTAAAAAACATCCGCTCTTAGTTAATGTTTATAACACGTGCTTAAAATTAAATGCTTTAAAATAGAAGAAGTCTTTGTTAGCGTTTTACTATAAAATTCTTCGCTAATACATTGTAAAACATTTAAAAAAACTGAATATTTTTTAGTGTAACTATTGAAGCTCAAGCAAAGTTCAAGTGATGTTACGGAATAATAAAAATAAATTGTTTAGTTTCTGAAGCTTTGACCTTCCTTATCATGTAATTCTACTCTAAAGAAAAGTTTTTATCTACTTTTATTATCATAAAATTTACGAATAAAAGCAGTATTAAGTGGCCATCACACTTTCTTTATTTACTTTCTCCAATTTAGAAACCGGCGAAATTTTTTTTTACAGCGTAGAATTTTTTAGTAACGATATTCGCTATATTTTACGAACTAGTAGGTAGATGGTGGATAAAATATAAAGGGAAAAGCTGTTGCGGGTTCCGGCTAACCTGAAAGCTTACTGCAAAGGCAGTAAACGATTACTGCTAACCATCTAAATTAGGTAGTATTAGCAGCCCACTAAAAGTTGACTGTTTCTCTTTAAAAATAACTTTATAGGATGTTTTAAAATCTTAAAGTATTGATGTAACTTATAGTAACTTATAAAAAGCTCTTAATATTACTGTTTAATCCAAAAAGTCCCAGTTATCAAAAAAAGAAGTTTTTTCTGCAATATAGGTTTTTGAATCTTCTGAAGTTTCATTTTTAAGGCAATCCATGCAAGTGGTGCATAGAAAATAAGTGAATATAAGTAACAATGTCCATAAACAGCAATACAACCACAGGCGTAAACCGAATTTGTGGGCTCTTTCCCCCCCTCTTTTCGTTTTCCAGCTTTAGGAGTTCTAACGTTTCTCTTAAAACCAGTCTTTAAAACCTTTGGCTAGTATAACAAAACAAGTAACAGTTAGCAAAATAAAGCGTATACTTGGTATAAGTAATATATCCTTAAAGTACCTTTTTTGAAACTTTAAGGGGGATCACTGTGGAGACTTGATCCTTATTAATATTGTTATGAGTCACTATTGCTTATAATAAGCAGTTATAAGATTTCATAAGGACCTAAGAAAAAATTTTAATTCGATGTTTTGAAAAGTATGTAAAAATTTATATAACACTTCTAAAATGATTTATACTTACTCTTACCTCGAATATAGGTGGTACATCTTTGTTAAGTTTAGAGTTATCCTCAAATTTTTAAAATAAAATTTAAGTAATAAATAATATTATACAGCATCAGTGCAAACCAAGGTTTTAATACTTTAACAAGAGTAACTATAAGAATTAACACAAACATCATTTACTTGGTTATCCCGAAGATCCCATGGTCCAAATTTAGATTCATGGTCCCTAACGCGTTTATTTTCAAACATAATATTGGAAGAATCAGATTCAGCAGAAGTTGTCTGCTATAAATATTTAAGATACTATTTAAATGTATTTGTCATAAACAATATTGTATAATACTTTTTATGTGCAAGAGAGTAGGAGGTAAATTTACAATAAGTACTAATTACACAAAGGGTTATCTCTGAACAAATTAACGGGTTCATAATGTAGAGTTAGTAAAAAGGATAGATAGCCAAGACATATCATCCAGTATTTAACGGAAAATATTACAAAGCGGTAAGTTATAATCTACAAATTACTTTATATTATAAATAAATTCTAGCTTCTGATAAACGATCAATTACTAAGCGACTGACGTACATCGCTTAAAATTACTAACCAACCATAAGAAACCTCAAAGCCTAACATTACTCAAAGTCTCTTAAATAATATCTTGACCTTGAAAGACTAGTTGTTTCCAATATATATTACTGTGCCATTATTTATTAATAGTATTTACAGATTCAGCATGCAGATAATTTTAGAGATAATGGTAAAGGGCGTTACCTTTTCCCTAAAAATTCATGTCGTAATATATCATTGCGTGCTTAATTATTACTTGTTAAAATTATAAGGTAAAAAATAAAAAGCCTTATTAACTTGCAAAAGTTAGAGGAATTTAGCCCTCTCGTTTCAAAGGTTTTTTTATTTGGCCAATGTTTAGCCTCCTTTATGGAAAAGGAAAAGCAGTGAAAACACGTTGGTATGGTCACATGCCAGCAAAACAATACCTCTTCCCTTATAAATTTATAAAAGTTTAAGTTAAAGGGTCAATGAAATCTAATTTTACAGGACATCAAACCTCAGAGAATACGTACTGGTCGGGTTGGTATCGTTTATAAAAGTTGCACCAGATATTTTCTAGTGACAACAGCTGAGTGTATTTAAAAAACGTTCGGATTTTATATAAAAACCTTCCGTCTTATATAAACAAAAAATCGTGCAGTTATAAAAGACCACGTTCGTCAAATGGGTTTATATTAATGGAAATAAACAAAAAGTGAAAATTACAATAAAAAAAGTTAACTGTGATGATTTTAACTCTATACGCAATAAAAGATAAAGTGTATACCTTCCAGGCCTGTAGTACATAATTTTGATTACTATAAGCTAAAAGTTAAAAAGTGGAAGAAGTACCACCTCCCAGGTCTTTTGTGCACAAGGTTTTTACTTTCACTTTTATTCTCGCTCTTTAAAGTTGATAGGGTTATGACATCGGAGTTTAATAGCCCTTGGTTAATTCGTAAAGGCGGATTCATAACCTTTTCTTCGATCAAATCCAAGCCCTTGTTGAGAGGTTTGTGTTCTTGAAATACATCACCCACCGAAGAGCCCTTTAAATCTCTCGGTCTTCCTTCATGACGTTCTTCTTGGTAACTTTTGTCGAAAGTGTTGTAGTCTTCAAACTTTTTTTCCAAAGAAATTTTTACAAGTTGATCCTTAAGACACTCATTCTCCACTTTTAATAAACCAAGTTCACTATCAATTGTTACTTCTCTACTAGTGCAAGGTCTTTGCAAGGCTTCTTTTTCTTTTGTTAATTCATAAATTTCTTGGTTTTTCTTTGATAGTTCATTTTGTTTTTGAGCAACAACGAACTCCTGTTCACGAATTTGAATCCTGTACTCTGATAACTTACCCTCCAACTCTTCAATATATAAGCCGTGATTATTATCCTAAAACAGATTACAGTTGACAAAAACTTCAACCGGTGATTGTGGTGTGTAATGCAGTATTTTCCATCTTTTCTTCTTTAAACCTTTCGGCTTGAAGCGAATTAAGTTTACTTTTCAGTTTGTTAACTTCTTCCTACGTAAATATACTTTGGAATAATTGCTGTGCAAAATTGGTAATAATAAAAAACTTTGTTTTCTCTAGAGGAAATTTGGTATTCATCCAATTTATGCATGAGAGCTTCTCTTTCAATGTTCATGTCCGAAATCTTTTTTTCCAGAACTGATAAGGAAAGCTAACCATATGAAAAACATAGTCTTGCATATTAAAAAAACATGTGCGCGCTATAAAATTACTGTCTTCTCCTGATCCACAGCCAGCAGATCTCTAAGGCGAGTTTCCAAATTATTATTTAGCTTCTCTAGCTCTTTGACTTTGTCTTCTAGCATCAATTTTTCCTTACTGAAAGAGCTTATCTCATTGGAATTATTTAATTCAATCTCCTTTATATTTCTAGTTAGTATTTTGTTATCTCGTAAAACATTGTTTAATTCTTTGCGATCAGCATTGCAATTTTTTTCAAGGTCTGAGTAAGAAATTTTCAATTTACTTAGTTCCTCTTCTCTAAGCTCAAGAAGAACAGTCAATTCTTCCAGCTTTATGCCCTGCTCTTTTAATTGTTGTACTTTACAATCATTCTCTTCACAAACTTGCTTCATTTTATCGTTGAGTTCCTTCACTTTCTGCTCAAGGTTATGTTGGGTATGAAACATCATATTTTTTTCCTTTATATTGACTTCCAAAGTTAAATCTCGCTGTTGTATAGCTTTCTTCTGTCTTTCGGTTTCAGTTTTTAACTGATTAAATTTATAGTCTTGGCTGTAAAATTCTTTGGACAATCCCTACACATCAATAAAACTTTTTAATAAATACGTACACGACACTTTTACAAGTTTCTTACAATTAACCTCTCGCTGACAAGTGTCAAGAGAAGGTTTTTCTGCTTAAGATCCTTTGACTTTTTTAAACACCAACTTGATTTCAATTGCCATCTTTCATATAAATTCTTAAGAACCGTCAAAAGTCTTCATTATAATATTAACAAAGTAAAAGAGTTATTAAAAAAACTTATAAGAACATCATTAATACGTTGTCTTCAGCTGTACAATCAAACTTTTCGCACGAGTGACTTTTTCAAACAATTGTGCATATCGCACGTGTATAATCTTGAGTGGCCTATACATTAATGATAACCATCAAAGTTTAAATATAGAAAAAACTTTTATTGTGTTTTCTCTTTGTTGAAATTTAAAGGACCAAAGTACAAGACAGCGGCTCTAAATAAATTTATTTTAAGTATAAGTAGGAGCTGTGCCCGTGTAAAGCGCCTACCAAAGCCTCTTTTCTTGAAATTAAGTTTGCAAAACTTTCTTTCAAATAATCAAAAAGAGACAATTTCAGTTTAAATCTAAAGGTATTATTGTAAATAAGCAAGATATTAGACCCAAAAAAGAGATCGGTATCTCGTACAAGTTAAAGTTTTCTTTCCATTTATTCTTATTCTTCTCCATGAAACGTTTGCACCAACCTTCCAAGCCCCTGATGGCGTGGTAAAATTCCTGAAAGATTAACTTAACTTCCAAGCCTAACAAACTAAAGGCCGCGTCAAAAAAACCTGCACCAAGCAGAGATGGTCTTTGCGAAGATTATCTATTTGCACTTTCAATATCCGAGTAAACTGGAGGGCATTCTTAAAGGAATTTGCATATGAATGAAGCTTATGATTCGAGTTCTCTATAATGCCCGATTGCTTTTCTAATTCTATTTTCAAGTTGGCGATTCGTCCTCTTAACGTCTTGCATTCTCCTGCTTCGGCATCTAAACACGACTTATTAGTAGCCACCTACTGAATTTGAAAGTGGTCAACCCCTTTCTGAAGTTAACTTTATTATGGAGTCCGACAGAGAGGACACGCTTATTTGAAAGACATCAATACGTTCCTTCAGAGTGCGTTGAGCGATAATAGTTTGCTGAAAGGATTCCTTCACAAGCTGGACGTCTGTTGTAATAAAAACTATTGTTTTCTGAGCTTCGCTTTGCAGTCTAGTTGCTTTTCATAAACAGAAGCAAGCTTAAGATAATTTATTTAAAACCAAAAAGAATATTAACATACCATTTTCTTCAATGGTTCTCTTCTCAATAGACAACTGTTCAAATCTTTCTTTTAATATTGTGATATCTATTTCAAGTTTTATTATTTTTATTATTACAACTCGAAAGGTTAAGACCTTTCTCAGTTTCAATAAATTCCAATTTCAAACCATCTCTATCGTTTTCACCTGTTCATTATCAAATATTTAAACAAAGATATTAGGTTAACACGCTGGGTGAAGACCTTTATTTATTAGATCTATAAGAACTTCATGGTAGTCTTTTAGGCTAAAACAAAGCTTGCGGGTATTCCCTATTCTGAGTACCCTCCATATAGTTATGTTGTAACAATTTTAAGAGAAGTAAACGTTACTTTTGGTTTATTTCTTCTCTCTTCGCAACCTCTTCTCTTAGTCTGTCTGATAACATTTCGTTGATTCCCTGAAGTTCCACTAGTGTTGTCCTTTGCTTTTGAATTGTTTCCGTATACTGCGCGATCTTACCTGTCTTTGTAGATAATAAAGACGTTGAGTGCTACAACCCAAGTACTCAGCGAAGACAGATTTATGCACACTCTGTCAGTTCTATAGCTCGCTTGCTTACTTTTTCAGCATTATAAATCTAAGGCAGCCGATATTTTCTAGTATACTATTTTAAAGTAGGAAGTGTCCTGCTCCTTAAAAAGAAGCCTTAAAAAACTACACAGTAATCTTTATAGTTCACTCCACAATAAGCATTACGACCAATTTTTATAAAATTTAGCTGCTAAACAAAAACTTTTAAAAGAATTGTTAAAAATTATTAATAAAAAGGCTCTAACTTGGCGTTGTTTAGTGAATTCTCCGATAGCGAGTTGTTTTTTAAACTTTTCCAAACCACTTAACAACGAAGAGAAGCGCTCTTTTTCTGATATATTGCCCTTAACGTTTAGATATTTACTTCGTAAAATATACTTAACAGCTTACGATTTTCATGTTTAACTTCTTGAACTTTAAGCAACTTAGGACTTTGTAAACGTAACTGATTAGTTAACTGCCGTTGTTGCTGTTGTTGCTGTGCTTGTTGTGCTTGCTGCTGGTACTGTCTTGAAAGCTGTTTAGACTGCATGCAACAAATAATTTATTCAAAAAAGTTATTAAAACCAGCTATTAAGTAACTTAAACCTTTTATACCACACAGAAAAAAGGCGGTAAAAATATAAACGCGCGAGCCTAAGAAAAATGTTCACAGCTTTTAAAGAATTTTTTCCTCAAATAAAAAGACAATATTCTCGAGACAAAGCTTACATTATAAGTTATTCTCTCAAGGCCAAAAAAAAAAAGCGGGAGTAAAAAAATCGTATAATCTGCCTATACGCCTTTTTTTTCACACTTAATTTTAGATGAAGCACATTATTAATATTGTTTATAAGACTTATCTAATCAAAAAAACTACTGTAGTAAGTTATACAGTCTTTTAGTATAATTAAATTTAAGGGATCAAAAACGCTCCTCAAACATAAATTATCCTTCTTCAGAAGAACGCGCAGAAAAAAATCAAATAAGAAACCCTCTATGAAAAAACTTAAAAACTATAATAGTAATAAAACCTGTATCAAAAAGTAAAAATAAAAGAAATGTGTTAAAGAAAAAATTGGTTAGTTTTTAATATTTTAATATCATCATCTAGGCCTTGACCGCATACTTGCGTAATTTAAAATGTTTTCTTTTTTTAGCCTCTTTTTCCGTAATAAGGTTTGCTTCGTGCTTAGTTAAACGACGTCTGATGGCGCGTGTTTTTTTCGGTCGTAAATCCAAAGGAATATATTTTTTGCCAGCATAATTATTCCTTAAGGCATCCCTCGTTTTCTGGTTAATAACGGTTAAGACCCGAGCAATAGACTTACGGACAGTATAACTAATAAAGACACAGGATAAAAAAGAGTTAAAACATTAACAAGCTCTTAAAACTGTACATCTTATTAGCTTTAGAGCCAGAGGTAACTTTATTAACGCGCAGTTCAGCTAGTTCAGACTTCAACGATTCCAGTTGATTAAGTATGAAATCACGGTCCATTTTACGAAGCTCAGCGGCTTTGACCATCTTGCTAAGCGTTAAAAAATATTAGAGGTTACAAAAAAAATAAGAAATTTTTACAAAAAAACCATAATTTAATATTTTAATAAATTCAGCTAATATAGAGCAAATGCGAAAAAAAAAATTGGGAGGACCAACTATCAACCTCTCTTAGCAAAAATCAGTCAAAATAAAAGGGAAAGTGGGAGGAGGGTGGGGGGTCATTTTATGCACAACAGTAGTGTCACATGCCTTGGGCTAAATCGCACGAGGAATTAGCTTATGACCGTACATTAGAATCCATGGGGCTAGGTAAAGTACGCGAACTGTCAGAGACCGAAAAAGAGTTGCGCCGGTGGGAATCGAACCCATAACCTTGAGTATGGACGTCCATGCCCTTAACTACTGAGTTGCGACGGCAACCTGCCGACCTCGGTTTGATGGTTTTACACATTTAACCTGTTACCCTTAACGCTTAGGAGGCCAACCCGCGGCACGCGGGCTACCCTTCCCCCGCTCATACACCAGTGGATCGATGCGTGACGCTACTGTAGCTTGCATCTTGGCGGTAAAAAAATTACCTGACAGTCCTTCTTAATTAACATTAATGGAAAACTAGTAGTACACTTGTGGTTACATAATGAGTCTAAGCCGTCTACTTTTGTTAGGAAAAAAAATTACGAAGATGATATTGCTCTTCGCGAAATTAACCTTGAATGGGAGCATGTTTTTGTTAGTAAAAGGCGTTGGTTCTAAGCCAGTATGTTCATTTGTAATGCTTGTGTAGTCGTGTCAAAAAAAATTTATTTTATAACGGTATTTTAACCAAATGCAACCTCATTTTAATACAAGGTGTCCCTAGATTCAAAGTTTAGAGCAGATTTTTTAAGCAAAAAGAAAATAATTTGTTTACGCAGCAAAGAATTTTCAAGAAGGCTAGTACTCATCAAGAAACTATGGCCTAAGTGTCTAATGAATTTTTACTTTTTCTTGCTAGGAAAAAGAAATTTTACTCTACAGCTGAAGACAGCGAATAGGATGCTCAAAAAATTTTGCTAAAACCATAGCAGATTCAACATTTTCAAAATGGTAGATGATATAGTCCTATTAAAAAATACCGTTAGGAGAAGGACAACAATGAAAGGGCATTTGATATTGGTAATTAAATCAACGAATGACCGGGTGCTCCTACTTTTCTCTTGCTTTGGACGAGAGCTGCGATGTAACTGACACTGCTCAATTATGCATTTGTAATGCGTTGTGTCAGCGAACAATTCGAGATTACGGAGCGCCTAGATAAGCGGTAGCTAATTTCTAGTAAATATGTTTTCCGTTAAATTATAGAGGTAATTATTACTTTTCAATTAAACTAGTTTAAATTGGATAGTGTTTGTACAGAGGGAACTCCGGCACTGACCAGGAAGGTAAAAGGTTTCCTAGTTTTTTGAAAGGATTTTTAAAACTATGCAGTTAGAGGTGGTATTGGTGTCAAGTTAAAAACTGCAGATATCAGCTAAAGGCACGTGCATACAGAAATTAGATAAGATTATTTTGTAAATGTATATAATCCCTCTTAATGGTCGGCAGAAGTTTTTTTTAGCTGCTGTGTTGCTCCCGAAGACGCCACGGCTAGCGTTCACACCAAGAAGATACAGGCCTATCATCCTCTTGTCGGCCCTAGTGCTCCTCTTGAAAGCGTTTGGCGACGCAAACCACGTCCTGCTTGAGGTTCCAATTTGGGTTCGATAGGGACCCTCCCCTACACAACTACTCCTCCGCTTTACAGGGTGGACGATTCGAGCCTTCAATTTAAAGAAGGCAACGAGAGCCGTCTTCCTTGGGGTCGAAAAAGCGTTTGATCGTGTTGGCACACAAGGGCTTGCATTACAATTTTCGCCCTATAGCTCTTCCTGCTATTCTTTTTAACGTGATCAAATCTTATCTTGAGAACCGCGTCTTTGATAACCGGTGGGCGAAGCACGCTCACCCCTAAGACCCCTAACGGCCGGAGTCCCACAAGGACCTCTTTATCACCCTTACTCTTCGCACTTTATCTAAGCGACGTGCCACAGTCTGACGACCCCGACACGCGGGTTGTTTTATATGCTGAGGACACGGCGATTTACTGGTCAAAATCACCCACCCTAAAGCGTCCGCATCTGCAGTACTACCTAGTGACTCTTGCCAAGGGTGTCGACATTGGAAAGGTACCATTAATGGGGAAAAGAGCAAGCTCTTTTTATCACAAAGAAGTGCACTACCCCACTACCGTCGCTAACCTTTGAAAATAGGTAATATTTCTTGGTGTCCTCAGGAGAATGACAATAAACTATCGTAGCGACTGCACGTAAACTCTATCGCGGCGAAAGACAAGGCGGCGGTTCGAACTCTTTATCCTTTACTTTGTGCTCGAAACAAACTCTTGCTGCACGACAAAGGACGCTTGTATTTGTTGTGCATCAGACCGATGATTACATAGCATCTACTGCCTGGACCGATGACCCAACGGTAATAGTCTCGTCGCCTCAAGCGAGACAAAACAAGCTGCTACGCCTTTCGACGTGCGCACCGTAATTTGTTCGCAACGAGGCCTTACATAAAGAGCTCAGATTGAAGAACCTCTGGGTAACGTTTTTCGATGCAATGCTATTGCCACCTACGACCGGCTCAGCAGCTCACCAATCGATTTACTAACAGATGAAGTTAACTATGAAATCTGGGCCTGCGCGACTTTAAATATATAATACTGATTAGGGCTATATTATTTTTAATATATATATGAGATTGCTCTAAGACAAGCTTAAAGCTGATGTGTACAATATCACCCTGTTCTGAGCTCGTAACTGCGGTGTTTTCTTTTACGATCCGATCGAGCACTAGGAAATATCATTAATATTAAAAAAAGGGAAAAGCCTTTTTGTTTTGGTCCTCAAGGCGGGCGTGAACCGCTGTTACACCTCTAAGAAAGCTTTTTATTTTATAACTTTTATTCATCACTAAAGTTTAACTGATACCACGTGCGGAGGTAAACACAACAAAACGCAAAGCTTTAAAAAAATACCACTGCATTATTCACTAAACACCTCTCTGTGCCGAGAATATGAACTTTTGTTCTGTTTTTAACCCTGTTCTACGATGTATCAACCACAACCACATTCGAGCTAGTGCTCTTCATAGAAAGGAATTACATCAATTTTTTTTCGCAATTTAAATGAAGTATAAGAACAAACTGAGTTACTACTACATTGCACTGTTCGTCGGCTATCTCGAGGACAAGCTCTGGATGGGTTTTGGAAATTATGAAGTTTAGTTGTGGAATATTTAGAAGAGACTAATCAACTCCCAGATGAGTGCTTTCTTTCAGAAATAAAGATTGGTGGGATTTAGCTTTTGTGAAAATATTATGGGTTATTTAGGTAATTTAAAGGAGCGTTTGCAAGGAGAAACTAATTTTTCTCCAACCTTGTTCGTTTTAGTTTAGCCTTTTAAATCAATACCGAAACTCATGGAGGGGCATCCGGGTAAAGGTGAACTGCACCATTTTATTCGAATGCAAGAATTGATGGCAGAAACAAGAATTCTTAACTTCACTAAGTTTGAAAAAAAAGTTTCACTCTTAAAAAAACAGTTTGAAGAGAGATTTATTGCTTTTTCAAGAGAATGTTAAGTATATGCAGTTTTCACAACTCTTTATTTAACTTTATCTACCGAAATTTATATTTATTTAGCTAATCCCAAGTGAAAGTTCTGTAGTTACAATATCACTTGGCATTTCATGGAAAATTAAAGTAGTTGGGAACCCATCCAGGAAAAGGTTTGCCTCGTCTTGGAAATTGTTTCTCAAGACAGATTTTCCAATTTAAATTGGTACTTTACTACTCATATTTAGCCCGAATTATAAAATATTTATGAGTAAGCACTTTTTTTAAACTATGAAGTTTTTAAAAAATAAATATCGCACAGTATTAACCGACGAATATTTGAAAAGTCTCATCCTTCTTGGGTCCTCACATAGAATCTTAACGTTGAAAATTGATCCAGATGAAGCAAATTCAAAGGCCTCCTTATTGTTTAAGTGCAAGTTTCTCAATACTATAAAAAATTCTTTTTTTTAACATAAACACAAATATCTTCACCTTAATCCACAATAACCCAATAACAAGTGATTTGTGTTTGGTAAGGTAGTTTTTTAATAGCTTAGAGTAATAATTTAGGTTAAGGTTAATTTAGGTAGGACAAATGGCAGGAGTCAGAGGCATTATGTTTCAGAAGAATGAAAAAGAAATGAAAAAGTGACACGCCAAATATTTTTAGTCAAATGAAATGGCACTCTAATCAGAAAGGTTGGCCACCGTTGCTTTAACGTGATAAGAAAAGTTTGTAAACTAATAATAAAGTTGCTAGCCTATTAATTTCTTTTTAAAAAGAAACGTTAAAAGAGACACTTGGATGGTCTGAAATGTTGTTCAGGTGTACACACTTAAAAATGAAGAAAATTAAAGGACATTTTGCTTTCTTGTTTTTGCGCTACTTTGCTTTTATTATATTGGCTTATGTATGTAATGTGAGGGTTATTTTTCCGAGGGCATATCACCGTAAACCAACCTTTTCTGCGTTAAATTGTGTTTACTCATTCTTGGCTTAATATGACAAGGCGCTCGGGAGAGTTAAAATTAGTCCAGTGAGTTGCCTCAGTTTCTTTTAGTCCTTCGACTTTCTATATTATACCTTTTTAATCTTGATATACTAATTCTCGAAACGATCAGCCTGTGAAATCAACACTTAATAAAAACTAATTTTAACTAGAATCTAACATAAAATGTTTACACCTTAGTGTGCTTCTAGCTCTCTATATGTCGATCTCACATTCTAAAACTTTTAGAAACTACTAAAGCCAAGTAATATAGTACCATATGATGCACAAAGAAGTATAAAATAGAGTTTTAAAAACTTTAAATCACTGTAATAACTTCTAAAAAGCTCTTGAGTCGCCTTGGTAGCTAATAACACCCATTAATTAACAAAAAAGCTGTTAAAAGAAAGAATACTGGGGCACCCATACTCGTAGGTTATAAATCCGTATTATAGAGTTAACTATTTACCACTATTACAAAAAATTGTTAAAAATTTAATTAAAATGTTGTTTATTGCCGAGTTAAGGTTAGTGAGGGTTTATTAGTCGCGCGAATAGCATAGGACCCTCGTTCTACGCTTCTTTACAACCCTAATGCACCGCTTTATAGGCAAACCGCAATTATATACTATTCTACCACTTCAGTTAAAGCGTATCAAATTTATACATAAAGGTTATTGGGTACAATTCCACTTTAGCGATTTATTTTATACTACGGGGAGAACAGTAATTTAATTGCGAGAAAAGTAATAGAGTAAAGGTTTACACCTAGTATTTGGTATTAATGTAAAAAATAATAATGGTCCCTATAAACTTGCTGACTGCCAGAGAGTGTTTAAAAGAAAAACATATGTAAAGAGGCGGAGTCTGCGAATTTAATAATAGATTAGCGCGCCTAGAGAGGACTCTCGAACAATTTAAATATACAATTCTTACATTTAAGTAAAAACAGCTTTTTTTGGAAGACTAGGGAGTATGAATTATAATCAACCTGGGTAAATGTCACTTCAAAACTTTTTATCGGCATCAAAGGTTACAAAGAGACATCAAAGCTCTAGCTCAACCGCCTTTTCATTTATTATAAACTCCAGCTTTTTATTATTGCTTAGGTCTTTAAGTTTTTATCCCTTAAGAAACTTTCATTGAATGTGTAAGTGAGCAGAGGCCATACTTTTTATTTTTTTTTGTCAAACCTAGTAAGGTCTAAGTTAATATATTAATGTAACTGGTTTTTTCTACCACATCTCTTTCTTTCTGCTTCAAATTTTAGAGCTACAGTTTCATACCACCCTTTAAACACATTTAATTAGCGAGAGCTGGTAAGTTGGAAAATTAATTACTAAATCTAACTTTAAGTATTTTAACTATGCACAAATTACCCGTTAAATAAATCTCATAAACTTTGGGATACATTGCATTTATTATAAAACTTAGTCCTTATCCGAACACAGCATTAGTTGAAAGTTTTCATGTAGGGAAAGCATCTTGTTTTTCTTTTCAAGCTCTTCTTTTTTGATTTTGTCGAAACTCTCTAGTTAATCACCTTTTAATACTTACTAAATGTTATCCTTTATCCTCATTAATACCCAAAAGTTCATTGTAATCATTTAATAGCTTCTCCTCTACTATCTCGATCTCCTCGCTGGGTGAAATAGGCTTAGAGTTTAGGTCATGTGTTCGGTAACGGTGTTTATACCTCCAACGTTTTGCCCACGAAGAAAACAATTCAAACATAGCTTGCGCATTTTCTAACATAAAGAGGTTAATAAGAATGATTGAAAATGAAGGATGGGTGATTTTTACTTTAAACCTTGTAAAAGGCAACTTCCTTTGGTTGAACCCTCTTCAACTTTTGTAGTCTAAGTTATTCAAAGTAAAGTTGGAAATGATTAATTTTGTTTACTCTTATTTCTACAATGCTTTAATTAAAAATTGATATACAGTAATGGATGTGTTAAAATTATACTACTTAATAAAAGTTAAATTTAACTCAACTTTATTTTAAAAAAGTGAGCAATACCAAAGTTGCCCCTGTATCATCCATCCCCCGTTCAGTAATCGCAACCATTTAATAAACCTCTTGTTATGCGCGTCCAGCTAATTAAAGAAAATAAAGGCCATCTAATATATATCTAAAATGTTGAGCTTCTTAAAAAAATGACCCCACCGTCCAATATATAAAAATCATCGAAGAATAACTTGAAAAACTTTAAATGGCAGCATGAACGCTAGACACGCCAAAAGTGGCCGCCCCTCTCATAAAGACAGAAAATCGTTTAAGATATCGTTCTAACAACAGCTGTATAACTTTAACCTAAAACATCGGGTTATACACCGTTACACTTAGAGAATTGTTTTCACTATGTAAAATACTAAATATTTATTTTTGTACTTTTAGCCCCTAGCCTTTTTTAATACACATAAAGTGAAAACCTTTCAGGCTAGGGATTGTTCACGGTTCTTATAAAAGCCATTGAAGTGTGTATGCAAGGCGTTATAAGTTATGTATACGTACGTTTACCTTTTAAAATACGAGGAAAAAGCTACAAATTTATAATATTTTTTACCGTTAATATTTACAATAAACTTAATTAAATTTTACTGGGAGCACTTTTGTAAGAACTCGTAAGTTAGAGTTTTTTTTGAGATCAACAATGCCTTTTTTTTTCGCCTTAACACCTTTGTTAAGGGTAGGTAAAGTGCAGTTCTACAATTGACAACACTAAGCGATCAACTTTCTACTTTATTTAGCAATAATATTACAAGCCGTTAAGAGAAAGTAGTTTTAGCGTGTAAATAAATATCAATTCTATAAAATTTTTAAAATGTTAGACTGAAAGTTACTTCTTTAGTAAAAAGGTTGCAGATTTAGCGGTACTGATAGACATAGAAGTTGATTATTAAGAATCATCCATATTTCGCTAGTTGCACAAGTACTTAAAGTGTCGTGACTTATTTCCTAAAAATGGTGAGTCTTTTTATAGTTTGCCTTGATTTCATTAAAACAATGGAATTATAATATTAATTCGGGGCCGCAATAAATATATTTATATAAAATCACAAAAATAAAAAGTTTATTTCAAACTCTTACGTGAAAAAGGAGTACGAGTTTGGCCATCTAATATAATAATTAAAGGTCGGTCAAGATAAGCGACAAGTAGGTGCACCGTGCCCGCAGCTTTAGTGTACCCGTATCTGAGAACTATCTTTTGATTAACACTCAAATACTCTGGCCTACGCAGCAACCGTAACTTTCCTAATGAGATATCACCGCTCCTAGATACCCTTTCCCTACGGCGGCCAGTGTCACAGCTTGCCTTATGGTGCTTGCGTGCATTCTTTGTTATTATAAAACTGCCGTCTAAGTCAATCTTAACTACCTGGTAGCCAACTTTAATGGTTGCGTGGTGATTGAGAACAGTAATTTTGCACTCAAATTCCTGAACTACTTTATCCAAAGACGATTTTGAATCTACTAGAACCTTTCCCTAATAGAACAATTTCTTATTTGAGTGGTTTGAAGGATGTAAAAGGTAACCTCACGGACATATTGCACCTCTTCACTCCTCCAAGAGCTATGCAAGCCGATTCTTCTTTTCAGTAAACCGTAAAGATTTTAACGCTACAGCGATATGAGTAGTAATGCCGGCGCAAATGCTCTCTACTTCAGTTCGTCTTTTGCGTAAACTCTTAACGGATACTTTATAAAAAATGAAAATAGCGTTGTTACAGGAGGTGACACAAAGTAATTTAGATTTCCTCAAAAAGTCCATCAAAGCCGGGTCCTAACAACAAAGGGTCATTGCAGTTTATTTTCCCCTTCAATCCTATGCAGTGGGCAACTATTCCTACGCCCTTTGCAAAATATCTTCGGAAAGCTAAGAAAAAGAATAACAGCGAAATGATAAGTCAACATGGTGTATAATACAGATGTGGTACTCAATATCTTATAATAACACATAAGGCTGTTAACAAATTTTAAATTTATAAGAAAGGGTAAACGAGACTTTGGAGTTATTATCAAACTCATGGCGCAGTCTTAAAAGATTTAAAAACCTTATGAGAAGGTTAAGGTAGTCGACTTTCACGCTCGACACTTGAAACACGGGGCATAATCTACTTGAAAACATTTATAAACTACTCTTGCCTATCCTAAAAATACTAGCGGTTAGGTTGCCTTCCTGAAGAAAAACGAACGACTTCCGTGTCCACGTCCGACTCTGTGTTTACCAGAATGGACTTTTTTCTAACACCACATTTATAACAACCGCAAACAAACAACACCTATAATACCCGGTCTCTTTTGGCACTGATGCGATACCTCGTAGACTTTCCTTTTAAGTACAGGCGACGGGCACTTGTCGTTTTTGGTCACCGTCACGAAGACAGGGATAGCAAGCATTACGGCGAAGTAAAGGCGTTCTTCATAATAAAATTATAAAGAACCGGCATGTTTGGTTTTGTAAACCGACCCCTTGTCATTCCAATGACTCCAGTCTTGGCTCCTTCAATCAACCCGTGTAATCCGGGAAGTGGCCTGTTAATCCGTAAAAGGTTGTTTTCAAATATTTTTCATGTCCTAAAAAAGAAGTGGTAGCCAACTTAAAAGAAGAAAGTATATAATCAGCGGTATTGCACTAACCCTGCTAAATCGAGAAAAGCCACGACTTTACTTCATTTAGTACATATTGATCTCCTATTACTTTCCTAATGTTTGCTTATAAAAGTAGTGCCCATTTGTAGTAGCTTAGTTCGTTTCACTAAATTAATGGGTTAGTTAGATACCTACCAAGAATATTCGTTTCCATAACAGTATGTCCTAAAGGAAAAGGATCATGAAAACTTTGGTTAGAAATTAGTAACACACCATACTTTTCTGTAATCAGGTTTTTAAAAATAAATAAGGAAAGTTCACAACGTAAAAGTCCCTCATATTAAACACTCAAGGTACTCAAATACAGTGTTCACTATTTAGCTTAAAGTGAACTTTAGTGGTTAATATAAACAACTTCTTACTACAAAAAGCAATATGACTACGTTTGCACTACGTAGGTATCAAGAAAAGTGCTAGGAAACAGCATAACACAGGACACCTTGATTATCAAATCCAATTATAGCCTGACCAACACTAGAAGTTCGACTAGCCCCAATCTCGTGAAGGTAACGCGACAACTTTCTGCGACACAATCCCCTTCCTAAAAAAAAAAAGTGTTAATGAATTTAAGCTTTTTTAAAATTACCGTCGTCCCAGCTTATCATGGGATAAAATTCCAAAAAATAAGGTAAATTCTCCTTTAAAAATATACTGCTCAGCAGAATAAAAATAGAGCAAATTAATAAGCCAATACCGGCCTCTACATTTCCACTGCAGCAATTCTAACCTCAATAAAACTTTAATGTTTTGCCTTATTATTACTAGATAAAGCGCTGCATATCCACTGCTTACCTTTTTAGTTTTCAAGTGCTATTATAAAGCAGAAAGACTCATATATATTTCAAAGGTAATAAGAATTTATAACTCACAAAACATCACCCTGTCTTTTAGAAGTAATCTTTTGTAAATTATCTACGGATTTAAATAAGTCCAAATCCTCAATAATAATATCCCCTTAAATAATATTTGTTATCTAACATAATAACTTAACTGCTATACCATACTCTGGATTTTCTTCACTTGTTCCATTGGTATAAGGCACTCTCCCCACGACTACAAAGTAGCAATAACAACGAGGAAAGGCCCATATCTCAAATAACTTTTTCTGTATTATTATGTGTAATATTGGTAATATTACTACCCATTAAGTAGTGAAGCCGTAATGTCCTTTTTTAAATTTTACCATTCCTCTTGCTTTGGAGCAATATACTGGCACTTCTCATATGTTACACAGTCGTTGAAAAAAAGTTAACAGTCAGGCTTATTAACCTTTGGTAGAAATAACGAAGCCAACTTCCCTTCGATAAAAAAGAGCCGAAAAGGCAGAAATATGACTTCCTGCCTCCATCGAGCTCTATAAGCTATCTTTCGCCAAAAACTTAAGGTTAGCTCTACTGCCTTTTAACGCTCTACTTTGTAACACGGAGCGCATATATTCAAGGGGAGGGTGGCCACCTATTAGTGGCTTCCGATAAAAACTTGGAATTACGCAAAACTGTCTAAAGCAGTAGAGAGAAGTGAAGCTGAGATTGATCTGTTTACAGTTTGGCAGTTTATGGTTAATTTTTACAATAAACTAAATATGATAAACCTTAAAAAAGAATTTTTTTTTATAAATACACAATAAAGTTTTTACAAATAACTAGAAGCATAGTAATATGTCTTAAGAGCAAAAATTAGCTTAAAAGCATACATATATAAATAAAAAATTATTTTAGTCTACCTGAACGTAAGTCAAAAAGCAAATAAGCTCAAACGAATTTCCACACTATTCCGATATTTACACTTGATGGGAAGAAGACTTGATTGATAATTTTTCGCTACTTACTTAAAGATATGTTTTGTATTCAAAGATAAGGCGATATATGAGCTTAATAAACAAACAATATTTAAAGTTTATAGCTCCACTAGAAGTATTGTATATAGGTCATCAAGTGAAGGAAAAGTTTTGATAGTCTTAGTAACGGTCAAACTTTCCAAAATTACCGAGACTAGGGACTAATATAAGCCGACTAAAAAAATATTAACGTTTTATGAACCCAGAGAATAGGTTTTTGGAAGATTCTATGTTTTTGTGCTAAAAAGCGAACTGAGAAACCGTTGATATTAAGTTCGCGACTACAAGCTACTGACGAAAGGCGACGTAGACAAGGCGAAACTTTTTAAGGATCACCTGGCTGCTCATAGTATTATTCAATTTAAGTTGGCTGTTTAAGTTTTGTTAATAATACTCAGCCTTAGTAAACAATAATAAACTTGTGTACCAATGTTCGTAAATAATATGACGGTATTCTCCTTAAAGTGATTATGGTTTATCTATAAAAGGCTTAGGTGATTCTGCTGCCATTCATGATTAAGCTTTCAATAGTAAAAACTTTAGATTACGTTGCATTAAAACTACTTTAAAATTATTTAAATTTTCTTATTTTTAATAACTTTAGATTGATTATTTTTAAAATTAAGTTAGATAAGATTTTTCCTTCTATGATTTATTTCATTCTAGTTAATTTTATTTCGTTTTTAGGATGTTTTATATTTGAGGAAACAAGTAGTACCCGAACCTCATTGGATTCTTTACCAAACTGCCTTTATGAATATGATTATCCTGCTTTGTGGTAACCATATATTTCTTTAATTTTATTGTATTATTTTTGTATAAGTTATTTGATTAAGAAAATTGTATTATAGATTCTATCTAAAAAGTTTTTCCAGCATCCTTATTTTCTGTTATTTCATTTAATGTTATTAATATTTCATTAAATTTATTTTAATTATATTTCAATTTTATTTTTATTGTGAACTCTACAGTTGCTAATATCCACCCAGGCGGAAGGCATCCGACCTCGACGGCACCTTTCATGTAATCCTAGAGCAAATGCCGTCAATAGCGGTAATTATCTGTGCCTTGGAGGCACTGCGCTTAGCTAAAATCCCTTTAAAAGACCGACCCATTAGTCTCTTGATCGCAGTAGGCAAAGCAGCTGAAGCCACTTTATAGTGTTACTTGCAAGCTTTCGTCGCCAATCGTTATACCTTCCTAGGCACCATATATATTTCAACAATACCATCTGATCTGCTTTAATTATAATTAGGCTTTGCAAGCACCGAATTTTATGTTGTTAAAAAAGCTAGACAGAGTTCAGTGTAAGGTTTGACTCATATACCACCCGTCGTAGCTTTGTATTCTCCTCGACGTCCTCAAGCTTAACTAAAGGACCGAATATTAGGGTCAAGTGTGTGTGGCAGAGAATGTCAAAAAAAACCATTAGTAATTTGGTTCTGTTAGAGCCTCCCTCCCCCCCTCACTCTTGGGCTCTACGTGTGCAACGTAACACATGTAAGAACTACAATTGGCGTGGAGTATAACAAGAATACATTAATTACGAAGAAGTGCGCTGCATCCCATATTTACCGATACATTTAAATGCCATGCACCCTCTATTTTGCACTAAGAGCAAACTCGCTGTGTAACAAACCTGTATCTATTAAGTACCTGACTTGTTATAACATACCGCCCATCTACTACCTGTGATTATGGTTCGCCTGCTTCAAGTATAGTTAAGCGAGAGCCTTAGTTTATGCAAAACGATGTCTTACATCATGAATTTCAGATAGAAACGCCTGACCCGGTTGACCAAAGAAATTACTTTACTTCTGTGGATCGAGTTCATTAGTGAGTCATGAGAGGTGCATACCATCCCGTCTGCTTGGCGCACCTTGAGTTTTTTGTTTTATTTGGGGTAGATATGATTAACGAATTTTAAAAACCTACTAAGCCTTATTTAAGCGCCATTTACCTGTTTGTGAGCTCTGGGTTGCGACCTCGATCGGGACAGAAAAATAATTTTTTTATAGCAGTACAATGAGTTCATTACATATTTATGGTTAAAGTTCTTTTCACGGTAAGGGTGCATTATTGGTATTAAATTATAGGAAAACTATCAAAAGTCTAAGAATACAAATAGCCTATTTTTCATTTGTTGTCTGGTTTTGACCAACTGTCTAGGTTCATTAGAAATAAATTGTTAGAAAATTAAGATTTAGCTGAACTTTTAGCAGTCCCGTTAAAGTCGCCTTCGAATAAAATAAAAAAACACAAATTTTTGGCGAATATTATTTTAGTGGGTCTCCACATCTCTTTTAATTCCTAACGGGTTTTCGTGTCACTACATAGTAGATGTTAATCAATAAAATAGTAAAATTTCTTGCGAAAAAAATTATAAAGACCTCTTGAATCGGTTCAAATTCTTTACCTTCAGAGTTTGGAGAATTACGTTTTACCTTAACACTAAAAAATATCTTATTACAATATTAAGCTTTTTGGATGAAAAAGTTGCGGAATGACTTTTTTGAAGATTGGGGTATTATTTTCCCTTAAGAACAAAGTATTAAATATTGTACTGTTAAAATTACATCAGCACTAATTATCTTTTAACAGCTCTTTAGTGTCGATTGGTGTTTAATGTCGATTTGTTTGTTTTTTATTACTCTCTTAACTCTCAAACTAAATTGTTCTGGGCCTGGTTATTTAAATGTAAGAGTCAGGACAAGAGGCTAGTAAAGGAAGTGAAAAAAAATTTCAAACTTATAGATGTTAAATTTTTTTAAGTACACTAAACATTTACAATGAAGTTTGCTCGTTAGGTGAAAGTAAGCCTGCTAACGTTCCCCTTCAGATTATTTTCAAAGCGGTAAACTACACTGTAAATAAACAGCTTCCATTTGAATTGCTTCCCATGTTAAAAAGATAGGAAGGAATGCAGTAGGATATTTGCAAATAATGTCATAAAAATTATTAGATTGTACCGTGCAAAGCCCCTTATTTCAGTTATTAGACTTTTAAACAAACCTTATTACTCTACATAATTATTCCTGGAATGATTTTAGCAGGATTGGAAAATACTTAAATCAACAGTGTTGCTAGAGTGGATGAAAGGGTCGTTTGATCTCAGTCCTTTAATGAGTTTCCTCAGTTACCTAGTCTGGCGGTACGAGTAGGAGTTGCTTTCTGCAAAAACGATGCTGTTATGCAATGAATGCAGTGGTGTGCGTAACGTTTCACGCTGATGAATCACCGTTAAAGTTGTCCTTTTTTTATTCGTCGAGTAAAACATAACATACCTGAAAGGTTATGAAGTGTCCCGAATATTCAATACTTTGGTACATCAAGAATGTTCCGGGATGAATGGAAAAATATTAATACAAAATTTCAATCTAAGTAAAATTAACTTCCTCTAAAAAAATTCCTATTCGCTCAGCTGGTAGAGTTTGGTGCTGATTAAGTAACAACATATAAAAAAAAATAGGTACAAAGTTTATTTTATTTAAAATAAAATTTTGTATTAATATTTTTCTTATCACTCCGCAACATTTTTATTTTA